GCCTTCCCCTGCCTTCCCCTGCCTTCCCCTGCCTTTCCCTGCCTTCCTTCCCGGCCTTCCCAGCTCCGTGACGAGGCTGTTACTCAGCGCCTGAACTTCCGCGCTGGTGAACATCTCCAGCCTCGGCCATTTTGGGCTCCTGCGCTTCCCAGAGGAGGGGGCGGGGCTGGGGGGGGCCCAAACCCCTTTAACCCCTCTGCTGCCGGAGCCTTTTCATCCAGACCCCCCCCGCCCTCCCCCGGGAGCGGAGATGAGGGTCCGCTTGCCCCCAACCCCAGTGCTCACCCCCCTCCCCAGACCCCGGCACCGGCGACCTCTACACCATGGACGACTCGCAGCTGGTGAGCGACAAGTCGTCCCTGGAGGAGCCCCCCGACCTGGCTGCCAGCCCCCCCCCTCCACGCCAGCCCCTTCGGCCTGCTGCCCGCCAGCCCCCCGCCCGCCCCGCTGCTCCAGGGCCCCGGCTCGCCCGCCCTGCACGGTACGTGAGACCCCGGCGTGGGCAGAGCGGGGACCCCCGGGCTGGGGGTGTCACCCCACCGCCCCCACGGGCACCCCACGCATGGGATGAACCCTGTGCCAGCGCTGGTACCGCTGCATGAGCCCCACGGGAGGGGACACCCCCGTTCACCCCTGGCACTGCCCGGTGTCCTGGGCGGAGCAGGAAAGGCTCCGCTGACGTCCCTGCCCTCATCCCTGCCCTCGGCCCCACAGACGAGAGCAGCAGCGTCGACCTGAACGGGAGCAACCACGCGGGACTGGGCGAGTCAGGGTCCCTGGAGCTCGACCCCCCACTGGAACCAGAGTCCCCGGCCCCGTCTGCAGAGGAGGAGGAGGAGGAGGAGGAGGAAGAGCAGGAGGAGGAGGAAGAGGCCGCCGACAGCTGCCCGGAGACCTCGGCCGCACCAGAAGGGGAGAGCGAGGAGGCGGCTCCGCTGGGCGCCTCGGGGGCAGGTATGGCCCAGAGCCCCCCTGGGTGCCCCCCAAGTGCCCCCCGACCGCTGGCACGGCCCAGCCCAGTGTCCTGTCCCTGTCCCCAATCCGCAGGGGATGTCCCTCGCCGGCGCATCGCCACGCAGGAGGAGGTTCGGTTCCCGCTGCAGCACGGGTATGTGGGACGGGGGACGTGTGACATGTGCCCTGCCCCTCCTGCTGTGCTGCCCCTGGCACTGTCCCCTCCTGTACCCCATCCTACCCCCGACACTGCCCCCCTCCTGTACCCCATCCTGCCCCTGGCACTGTCCCTTCTCCATCCTGCTCCTGTCCCCATCCCCTTTCCGTTCAGTCCCTGACGCTGTCCCCCTCTCCCTGCCCCCTACCCATCCTGCCCCACATCCCCCCCAAATCCTGCCACTCCTGACACTCCCTGTGCCCAGGTGGAGGCGGGAGGTTCGGATCAAGAAGGGGAACCACCGCTGGCAGGGGGAGACCTGGTACTACGGGCCCTGCGGGAAGAGGATGAAGCAGTTCCCGGAGGTGATCAAGGTACAGCCCCGTGGGGGGAGCAGGGTGGGGGCTGCCCTGGGGTCCTGGTCCTTCACAGCCCCCCCCCGAGCCCCTGGCTGAGCTGATGGATGTGGCTGTGAGCCCAGAGAGCCGAGAGCTCACAGCCTTCCTCCTCCTCCTCCCCAGTACCTGAGCAGGAACATGGTGCAGGACGTGCGGCGCGAGCACTTCAGCTTCAGCCCCCGGATGCCGGTGGGAGACTTCTACGAGGAGCGGGACACGCCAGAGGTGGGTCTGGGGGCATCTGAACCCCCCTGTGACCCCCCCAGCCCCGCGCCGTGCCCGTGTGACCCTGACCCGTGGCCCCGCAGGGTGTGCAGTGGGTGAGGCTGAGCCCCGAGGAGATCCCCGGGCGCATCCAGGCCATCACGGGCAAGCGCGGGCGGCCCCGCAACGCCGAGAAGGCCAAGCCCAAGGAGCCCCCGGCGGCCAAGCGGGGCCGGGGCCGCCCGCCCAAGGTCAGGATGGTGGATTTGCTGAGCAAGACGGACGCGCGGCTGCTCAAGAGGCTGGAGGCACAAGGTACCCCCTGCCCGGCCCTGCTGGCTCGGGGGGGCTGGCACAGCCCCTCACAGCCTGGCCCCAGTGGGTCCTGGTCCATCCATCCCCTTCCTTTCTTCCCCTCCAGAGGTGCTCAGCGATGAGGACAAGCTGAAAATGAGTAAAATCAAGAAGAAGATGAGACGGAAGGTGCGAGCGTGGGGCTCGGGGTGACGCTGGGGCTCCTCGGGTCTGGGGTGGGGGTCTCCCTTGTGAGGGGGGGTCTCTGGATCCCTAAGCGGGTCTCGTCTCCCCAGGCCAAGAACAAGCAGAAGCAGGAGGCCAAAGCCCCCAGGGCCAAGGAGACCAAGAAGAAGCCTAAGGTGGGTCCGTGGGTGCAAGGGGACCAGGGAGAGAGAGGAGCTGGAAGATGAAGGTGGATTTTTCCCCCCTTTCCTTTTCTCCCCACACATCTGGGGTCTGTCCCCAGGCCAAGGAGAAGAAGGGGAAGCCGGAGAAGGGCAAGGACAAGGCTCGGCCCAAGGAGAAGAAGGGCAAGGGGGCTCGGAAGGCGGACAAGGGGCTGGTGGCCCAGCGGCGCCTGGAGGAGCGGCAGCGGCAGCAGCTCATCCTGGAGGAGATGAAGAAGCCCACGGAGGACATGTGCCTGGGGGACCACCAGGTGGGCCGGGCCGGGGGGGCTGGGTTGGGTCACCCCGGTGAGCCGACGGCCGACCCCCCCTGACCCCCCCTGCTCTCCTTCCCCGCAGCCCCTTCCAGCCTTCTCCCGCATCCCGGGGCTCGTCCTGCCCAGCCGCGCCTTCTCCGACTGCCTGACGGTCGTGGAGTTCCTGCAGAGCTACGGCAAAGTGCTGGGCCTGGACCCCGCGCGGGACGTGCCCACGCTGGGCGCGCTGCAGGAGGGGCTGCTGGGGGTGGGCGCCGGGGCCGGGCAGCTGCAGGACCTGCTGGTGCGGCTGCTGCAGGCAGCCATCTACGACCCCGGGCTGCCGCCCTACTGCCAGGTGAGGCGGCCCTTACCTGCCCTTTCCCCATCCCCTTTCCTTTTCTACCCCTCCCTTTTCTTTTTTCCCCTTCCTCTCTGTTTCTCCCCTTCCCGTTTTCCCCCTTCCCTGACTGGTGTTGTCAGGAAGGGGAGCCCAGGTTTGGGAGGTGCTGCTCTCACTGCAGCCCCCTGTGCCCAGCCAGCTCCTGACCCCCAGCAGCCCTTGGGGTGCCCTCACACCTCACCTGCTGCAGGGACCCTGCCTGGGACACCCCTGGGCTTTGCTCCCGCTCGGGTTCCTGGCTTGGTTTTCCCACCATGGGGTCCTGGCAAATCCCCCCGTGGGGGACAGGGAGTGACTCCCCCACCCCTCCCGTGCTCTGCTGTCCCCAGTCCCTGAAGATCCTGGGGGAGAAGGTGTCTGAGATCAGCCTGAACCGCGACACGGTGTCCGAGATCCTGCGCTGCTTCCTGACGGCGCGCGGGGCGGGCGTGGAGCTGTGCGAGGGGCTGCGCACCAAACCCTTCCAGGCGCTGCCCCCCGAGTGGAAAGCTGCCATCCTGGTCTTCCTGGTGAACGAGCTCAACAGCAGCGCCCTCATCATCAGGTGAGCCCGGGTGGGGGCCATGAACATCCTCTGGATCCCCCGGAGCGGGTCCCACTCCCCCCCCAGAGCTGCCCATTGCAGCCACCCCGCCCTGTCCCTGCAGTGAGATCGACAAGACCCTGGAGAACATGTCCAACTACAGGAAGAACAAGTGGATCATCGAGGGCCGCCTGCGCAGGTGGGTGGGGAGGGGCTGCCTGCGCCCCCAGGGCGTGTGGCTGGGAGGGGGCTGCACCGAGACCCCCACCTGTGACCCCCCCATCTGGCGCTGAGGGGTCTCGGGGTGGCATTGCCAGCAACGGGGTGTGAGCAGGTGCCTCTGGGGGAGTGGGGGTGGGCAGAGGGACAGGAGTCAAACGGCTCCGGGGTGTCCTGGCAGGCTGAAGGTCGCCCTGGCCAAGAAGACGGGCCGGCCCGAGTCGGAGATCACAGGCCTGGAGGACGGACGGCGCCGGCGCAGCTCCCGCCTGACCGAGGACACAGGGCTGGAGATGGAGGAGGAGGAGGAGAGCCGGGGACGGAGATCCCGCCGGGAGGAGGAGGTGTGGGCTGGCTCGGGGTTGGGGGGCAGAGGTGGGGATGCCGCTCTCGGGGGGTCTCTTTCCCGCCTCCTGGCGCTTCCCTGACGGATCCATCCCTTCCCCAGGCCGACACGTCGGCGTCCAGCGTCCCGGAGCTGGAGCGGCAGATCGAGAAGTTGGCCAAGGTGAGCGGGGGGGTGGTGGAGGGCCGGGGGGGTTCAGCCCTGCTGTGGGGCTGCAGCCCCCTCACCGCCCCCCACTCTCCCCGCAGAGGCAGATGTTCTTCCGCAAGAAGCTGCTCCACTCCTCCCAGACCCTGCGAGCGGCTTCCCTGGGCCAGGACCGGTTCCGGCGCCGCTACTGGGTCCTGCCCCACCTGGGCGGCATCTTCGTGGAGGGCGCGGAGGGTGAGCGGGAAAGGGGCTTCTGGGGGTTCTCCCAGCCGGGAGAGGACCCCACATCTCACCTCCTCCTCCTCCTCCTCCTCCTCCTCCTCCTCCTGCCCTCGCAGCGGCCGAGCCGGCGCCCCCGGAGCCCCCCGAGGAGAAGGTGCCCCCCCACGTGTCCCCGGTGAAGGAGGAGCCGGCGGATGTTCCCGTTCCCAGCCGGACGAGCTGCCCGACCTCCCACGCCCGGGGCCGGCCCAGGAAGAGCAAAGAGGAGCTGGCCCAGCACTGCGGACCCCGAGCCGCCCCCGTCAACGGGGTCCTGGAGGAGCCGGAGCCCCTGGGGCAGAGCCAGCACGACCTCAGCCAGTCCGCCTTCCTCTCCTGGCTGAGCCAGACCCAGTCGTCCCTGCTCAAGGACTCCGTCCTCACCCCGGCCAGCAGCCCCGGCAAGGGGGACGGGGGGCTCCTGCCACTCGAGGCCCCCTCGGATCCTACGGAGGAGGAGTTGGAGGAGGAAGAGGAGGAGAGTGCCCCGGAGGCTGCGGAGAAGCGAGGGCCCTGGTTCAACCTGCTGCCCCGGACGCCCTGCAACGACCGAGCCCCCCTGGCTGCCTCCTCGGCCGAGCCCTCCCCACAAGCCCCCGCTGTGCCCCCCCCCCAGCCAGACCGCGGGGACCCCCCCCAGGGGCTCACCCCAGCAGGTACCACATGGGGACTGCTCACCCCAGCACTTGCACCCCAACCTGGGGGGGCTGTGGGGAGCGTGGGGGGCCCTCAGCCTGGGCACTGGGCACCCCCAGGGTGGGGGACAAGGTCCTTGGGGTTGGCACGTGGAGCTCAGCCGAGCTGCCCCCAACCCTCTGGGCTATGAAAGGAGGGAAACAGCTCCAAGGCTGGGGGGGTTGTGGGACTGGGGACTGCAGGGGGGGCTGCAGAACGAGGGCCAAGGATCAAGGGGTGAGTTGGGCTCTCCTGACACCCCCTGTCTCCCCCAGCTGAACGGCCTCCCCACGGACGACCCCGCGGCCCCCCTGCTCGCCTCCACGCCGGTGCCCGCCGGGCCCAGGGCCCTCGGCGCCTGCCCCCGCGGCCGGGGCCACCCCGACAAGCTCCAGGACGTGCCGGGACAGCCCAAGCGCCGAGGGAGACCCCCCACCAAATTCTTCAAGCAGATGGAACAGAAATACTTGACGCAGCTGACGGAGCAGCCCGTGCCCCCCGGTGAGAGCCCGGGACCCCCGGGGCGGGCGGTGCCGGTGCCCCCTCAGGGTGCTGAGCCCCGGCGCTGCCTTGCAGAGATGCAGAGCGGCTGGTGGTGGCTGCGGGACCCCGAGGAGCTGGAGGCCGTGGCCCGGGCGCTGCACCCGCGCGGCATCCGGGAGAAGGCCCTGCACAAGCACCTCACCAAGCACAAGGAGTTCCTGCGGGAGGTTTGCCTCCGGGCCACCACCGGTAAGAGCCCACCCTCCATCCCCCCCACACCCCCAGGCCTGGGGGCTGCTGTCTGTCCGTCCCCTGAGCCCACCCTTCACCCCCTCCCCAGACCCCATCTTCCACCCGCGCCCCGAGGCGGCCGGTGCCGCCGTGTCTCAGGAAGCCCTGGCCCGGTGGTCGGTGATGGACAGAGCCTACGAGACCGACCTCGGCGTCCTGCAGTGGGTGGAGGAGCTGGAGCAGCGCGTGCTGATGGCCGACCTGCAGATCCGGGTGGGTGCCGGGGACGGTGGTCTCTGTGCCAGGGATGGTGGTCTCTGTGCCGGGGATGGTGGTTTTGGTGCTGGGGATGGTGGTTTTGGTGTCAGGAATGGTGGTCTCTGTGCCGGGGATGGTGGTTTTGGTGCCATGGTGACCTCCCCCTACTGAACCCCCCTTTAACCCCCCCCCTCCCGCAGGGCTGGACGTGCCCCAGCCCCGACTCCACGCGGGACGACCTCCGGTACTGCGAGCACAAGGTGGAGCCCCTGGAGGACATCACGATCCGTTCCCGGCGGGACGGGCTCCCGCTGCGCCGGGAACACACCAACCCTCTGGATCTGGCCGTGCTCCGTCTCCTGGCGCTGGAGCAGAACCTGGAGCGCCGGTACCTGAAGGAGCCGCTGTGGCCGCTGCACGAGGTGGTGGTGGAGAAGGCGGTGCTGAGCGGCCCCGAGGAGCTGAGCCTGGGCCCCACTGAGATGTGAGTGACCAGCGGGTGTTGGGAGGCTCGGGGTGGAGCAGGACCCCCAGCTCTGGCTGAGCTGAGCCCCCCATTATCCCCCCCAGAGCCTACGAGATCACGCCGCGGGTGCGGACGTGGCGGCAGACGCTGGAGCGGTGCCGGAGCGCGGCCCAGGTGTCCCTGTGCATCTTCCAGCTGGAGAAATCCATCGCCTGGGAGAAGTCTGTGAACAGAGTGGTGAGACCCCGCTCCGGGAGGGGGGGGGGCGAGGCAGGGAGGGAGGGTCAGAGCCCCCTCCCCAGCCTGACCGAGCCCCCCTCTCTCCCCACAGACGTGCCTGGTGTGCCGGCGCGGGGACGACGACGAGCACCTGCTGCTGTGCGACGGCTGCGACCGCGGCTGCCACCTCTACTGCCACCGGCCCAGGATGACCGAGGTGCCCGAGGGCGACTGGTTCTGCTCCGTCTGCGTGTCCCGGGTAGGTCCCCGGGCCGTCCCCCCACCGTGGCCAGGCTGGTGGTGACCCCATGCCCGGCGTGACCCCCGTCCCCTCCCCACAGGCAGGGCAGTACCGGGACCCCGTCTCGCCCCGGCGGGGCAAGAAGCGGAAACGGGGGCGTCTCGGGGGGACCCCGGAGGAGGAGGAGGAGGAGAACCCGCGGCGCCGCCCGGCCCTGCGCCGCCGAGAGGGGCTGCCCGTGCCCCGGTACCCGGGAGAGGGGCTGACCCCCACCAAACGGAGGGGAGTGACCCTGCGGGGGCAGCCCAGCGACCTCACCTTCTGCGAGTGAGTGGGGCCGGGGGGGCTGCGGGGAGGGGGCTCGGGCTGCACCCCCCGGGGGCTCCCCCTGACCCCGCTGCTGCTCCCCCAGGATCATCCTGATGGAGATGGAGTCGCACGAGGACGCGTGGCCCTTCCTGGAGCCCGTGAACCCGCGGCTGGTGCCCGGCTACCGCAAGATCATCAAGAACCCCATGGACTTCGGCACCATGCGCACGCGGCTGCTGCGGGGCGGGTGAGAGGGGGGGGCCCTCCCGGGGACAGGGGTCCCTTTGGGGCTGGCAGGGT